AGAGAGGAAGTTGAAAAGTGAAATGTGGACAGGTATATAGGTGGGAGAGAGGATGGGTGGTTATACATGAAAGGAAGCTAATAAAATGAAGAAGTAATATAACATATGATGAAATGAAGATAATGAAGAAGGGCAAGGATGCAGAGAGGCAGAAGGGGAGGTGGCCTCACAGGGAATCATCAGGGAGGCCTCCCCTGCTTGCCCTGGAGAAACTGTGAGCCATGACCCAAACAAAGCCTCAGACAGTTTTTTGCTGACACATATCAAAGACCCAGAGATAGTTCCTTCTGGGTACTCTGCCTGCATTCTGGACACAGAGATTTAAGGGTATGGGAGTGATGTTTCTCTAATCACTGATACCTGAGATCTCCAGACATCTGATGAGGTGACATATATGTGAGGGAGGGAAGGGAACTAAAATTCTTGCAGGTGCCTATGCAGCAGGTGGTCTGCAGGGTGCTTAGCTCACACCTTCTGACCTTACTGTCACTCTCCTAACCCTACGGGGGCACACTGGTTGGGACTCCATGACACAGGGAAATTCTCAGTCATCCTACTGGTATTTTGGTTTGTTCCCCATTTAATGTCCAGCCTGTAGTACACAGCCTACTGCATAGAAATATGTGATGATAATTGAATTGATAGAAGGCTGGATGGATGGATGGATGGATGGATGGAAGAATGTCATAATGAGAATGGAGTATTCTGTTTTTCAGAAAAGAAAAGGTCAAAGAGGTTGTGTGACTAGTATGCAAACATGGATCAAGAAATCTGCAGAGGTGGAGTCGATGGAGAAGTTATTCATTCATTTAAAGCTCTCTATTATAGGCTTTGTTAACAGTGTTGCCCAGTCTTCTGTCAGCTAGTAACATAAAGACAGATAAGGCTGGTCACTGTCTTTAAGACACTTATATGGAAAAATGAATGGGCTGGCAAATGTCAGAGTCCAGATTTCAGTAATTTTCTCAGTGCATAAGATGACATTGTGTAAGTTACAAGAATAGGCCAGGTGCGGTGGCTCACACCTGTAATCCCAGCACTTTGGGAGGCTGAGGCAGGCAGATCATGAGGTCAGGAGATCGAGACCATCGTCCACCCTGGCCAACATGGTGAAACCCTGTCTCTACTAAAATACAAAAAATTAGCCAGGGATAGTGGCACAAGCCTGTAATCCCAGCTACTTGGGAGGCTGAGGCAGGGGAATCCCTTGAACCCAGGAGGTGGAGGTTGCAGTGAGCTGAGATCGCACCACTGTACTCCAGCCTGGTGACAGAGCAAGACTTCATCTCAAAAAATAAAATAAAAATAAAAATAAAAGTTTTGGTGGCATACACAGAAGATGATTTTGACATTTCTGTTTGAATGAATGCTTGTTCTGTTGTTAATGAGTTCCTTTTCTCTGAGAATATCCAAGGTGAGGCTAAATGATCCCTGGTCAGCCCCAGGAGAGAGGTGACCCAAGCTCAGGGTAGCCTGTTAGATTGGGTGGGCAGTTGAGAGTAGGTCCCTGCCACCCCCAGGACTCAAATGCAGTGCAAACCTGCAGACCATTTCCCCATTCCCAGTGTGGCCACTGGTGGACCACTGGCATGAGGTCCTTGCACTGGTGGGCACTGAGTATCTGAGCAGACCACCTCCTGAGCACACCCAGGAACTTCTGTATCTCCACAAATGGGCACCCTCAGCCAGATGAGCAGTCAGTGAGCAATCTGGGACTGGCAGAAGATTTCCAGCATCACTGCAGCACAATCTCTTTTGCAGCTTTTTCCCTTGAGTGCAAAAATGCACAGGAACCAATGGAGACTTAGTGAGTCCCTAAGTGAAACTTAGAGGTGATGACAACGTCTGTGCACTTTATGCTAGAGAAAGAGCAAAAGTCAGAAAAGCCCTCTGAAGGTCTCCAATTTCTCTGGCCCCACAGCCAGAAGAGCACAGGGACTGAAGCCAGTACCTCCTGTGTGGGCTGCCTGCTTGCTATCTCTCCAAAAGGTGACTGTTTAGCTACAATCAAGAATGCCTGCGTCACAGCTAGCATTCACTGTGTGTTTCCCATAGGTCTGCTGTGGACCAGGTGCTTCAGAAACATAAGCAACCATCCTTCAAACAAATGGAAAAGTTGATCCTCATTTCACAGAAGAAACCACAGGTTCCAAGAGGTGGGGCGTATTAGTCTATTTCCATGCTGCTGATAAAGACACACCTGAGACCGGGAAGAAAAAGAGGTTTATTTGGACTTAGAGCTCCACATGGCTGGGGAGGCCTCAGAATCATGGTGGGAGGCAAATGGAACTTCTCACATGGTGGCAGCAAGAGAAAATGAGGAGCCCTAGCTTACTCTCAATCGGCTTCATTTGTGCTAAGAATAGACCTCAGATAAAAGCAGAAACTGGGCTTATGGAGCTTGAAACTCGAGTCAGAAAACATCTACACCTTTTTGAGACCCTTGCTGTCAGTGAATTCTGGAAGCCAGGACATGAATTTGAAGCCCAGCTCAGCTCTAAACTCTCATTCCACACATCCTTGTAAAATTCCAATTCCGTTACCAATGGGGACAGAGTTTGACTTACCCACCGGACTATAGGATCCTGGGAACCCCACTTACCTACCGATCAACACCCCCCTACCTCAAGGCAAAAACCAATCATACAGTAGGTACTCAAGAAACAGTGGATGAAAGAATTCAGTTCTGACTCTTAAGAACACGGACAGATTAATGCCTCTAGCAGGCAGGAAGTGCGAACTATGCAGCGCTTGGGTACCTGCCGCTGAGCTACGCCTTTAAATTCCGTCTCATTTACTCCTCACCATCATCTCAGGAAGTAGTCTGTGTTCCCATTTTAGAGATAAGGAGACTGAGGCTGAAGGAGGTTGTGTAACCTGCCTAAGATCACCCAGCTATGAGCATCAGAGGAAGAATATAATCTGAGATCTACTTGACCCGAAACCCTACCCACCGTGTGCTGTTATACTTACAGGTCAACTTCTACTTCCCTTGCCCACAATTCGTCATTTCCAGGTGGAAATTGATGAATGAGACCACCTCATATTCACCCTCATGAGCTTATTTCTGCCAATGAATCTGGAAAGTATCATTGTCATCAAGCTAGCACAAAACCAGAAAACCAAACACCGCATGTTCTCACTCATAAGTGGGAGTTTGACAATAAGAACACATGGACACAGCGAGGGGAACATCAAACACCAGGACCTGTCCAGGGTGGATGGGGGCCTAAGGGAGGGATAGCATTAGGAGAAATACCTAATGTAGATGATGGGTTGATGGGTGCAGCAAACCACCATGGCACGTGTGCACCTATGTAACAAACCTGCACGTTCTGCACATGTATGTTAGAACTTAAAGTATAATAATAATAATAATAATAAATTGGATCATGTACCAGAACCTCCAATACCCCCCAAGAAAATTGTGATTTAAAAAAAAAAACTGGAAGACAAGAAAGAGACACACCTGAAGCCAATGTGAGAGCCACCCAAGAGGGAAAGGGGGTTGAAGGCAAGGAATGGTGGCTCCAGATAGATTTGGATTACACTTAATTAAGACAAGTTCTTTTTCTCTTATTCTGTTGTTTTTTTTTTTTTCCTTTTGTCATGGCTGCACTATTGGCTTATGCTGTCTAAAGAGAAAATAGTTAATTGGTTTATTTAGCCAACTATAGATGTATTCAGTATTATTCTGCATTGTGTGAATTAAATTAAATAGTTTATTTACCCACATGCAATCCATTCAGTTCATTTAATTTAATTTCATAGTTATAATATGGGGAACAAACTAACTAGATTTCTCCCTTTGGGATGGAAATGGGCAAATATTTTGGTTCTGAATTAACAAGCAGCAAAGCTGATATTTATAATAAATCATCCATTGTTAGCCATCCTGATAATTATTCTGTGAATGGTCTAAAACAGACATGGGCATGTAATAGACACATTGTTGGCTTTTACTGCAGTTTAGTTCTTTGTGTTAATGAACAATCTAAACTGAAAACTCAGAGATGATTCCAGAGCAAATAGGTTTGTTTCACAGACATGAATTGAACACCTACTATGTTCCTGGCAAGGTGAAACAGCCACAGATGCATCACACCAACCCCTGCTGAAAATATGTCTGCATCTCCTGTCTCCAACAGGAAGATGTCCCAGTCCCTGCTGGACCTCCCATGACCTGGCCCCACTGGCTTCCCACTCTGAGCTCCTGCCCCTTCCTCTCTGCTGCCCACTTGCTATATGCTTTTGCAATGCTAAACCACGTGTAGTTGTATAAACGTGCCAAGCTGCACAGTGATTGTAGGTCTTTGCCTCCTGTTTCCCTTCTCCCTCCTTCTTCTTCCCACTCTCCCTGGTGAACTCTGACTCATTATTCAAGAGTCAGTTTACTCGGTATCCTGCTCTGGGCAGGCTGCCCTAAAACATCACTGGTAGAGTTGATACCATCCTCCATCGTGGAGTCCGTTAAGCATGGCAAGCATCACACCCTAAAGCGAGTGACCTTATTGACCACGCTAAGTGTGTGGTTTGGCCGTCCACTGATCAGGCAATGAGTCTGCCCCTACCTCCTGCTCTCTCACCTGCAACTCTCACAGCCCTGAAATAGGGCTGATAATAATACCTTCCTCATACCGTTGTTTGTTTTGAGGATTAATCGAGGTTACAGTGTGTGAAGGACTAAATGGCAATGTGTGTAATAGTAAACCTCCAATAAATATTAATTATCATTATCTATTTATACATCACACTGAGTTGCTGTAGAACCAAGACTTTGTTTTTTTCTTTTTTTTTTTTTAATCTCGGGATTCCCGTTGAATAGCACCATGCTTTGAACAGATTTTTTTTCTGCTATCAATGCATATTTCATGATTTATGAAGATGGTTAGAGAATTTCAGATGACAACTAAGGTGTAGCCAGGCAATGGAAAAGGGGAGGAGGAAAGGAAGAGAAGCTTTGTTATTTGAGGAGCACCAAAAATTGCAGAAAAGAGCTCCTTGACTTTTGGTAGATTCTGGAACCTCTCAGGGAGGTTACTGGCCAGGAATTATGAAAAAACGGTTTGATTGGGGGAGCATGGGGAAAGCCTGCTGCCTGCAACCTGTATCAGTCAGGAAGCTTTTGAGCAGACATACTAATTCCCACTGGAAAAAAAAAAGGTGCAAATCCCTGGAGTGACACCGTCTTTTAATCCCTCATCACCTCGTACTCTCCTGATCAGTTCTCTTCAGGAAAACGGGCAGAATCCTAAGACAGAGTCTAAGAGATGTTTTCTTTGAATAAGGGGAGTAGACCCAGAAAGAAAAGAAATCCAAGGTCTGTGTCTGCATCTCAGCTCTGTCTGTTCCGAGGTGTGTCATCTGGGGCTGTTCACCACCTCCCCTGGACTAAAGATCCCTCACCTGCAAAATGCGGAGGACAGCAGGAAGGTGAAGGTGAGGATGGGTGGATGGTGGGAAAGGGTCCGGGAGGGAAGAGGCGAGTAAGCAGAAATGGCCGGGGTGGGGGGTGTCGTTCTTCCACCCCAGCCCTGCAAACACAGTGCTGCGATACTGGCTCTCCAGGCATCACACTTAGAGCTGCATATCAATTAGTCACAGGCCTTAAAGCTGAATGTAATTAATTCTATAATGCACTGCTGTTCCTGCTACATTCCAGTAAAATCACATCATGAAATTGGGGCATGATGAAGGATTTCTGACAAAGGGAAGGCAGATCTGAGTCAACCCTTCATGTGTCCTTCACGTCAGGGTGGGATCCAGGACTGTTGAGCCAAGTGTGGGCCTGTGGGTGTCCTGCTGTGTGCACAAGGAAACAGGGTGTCCTCAGCCACGCCCCCATACCCCCACCGTTCCCAGAGAATGCACACAGAAGAGAGAAAAAGAAATGGTAAGAGGCAGCTGAATGCCTAATGACTTGTCCCATTCATTGAAGTCCCATCCGATTACTTTTGCCCACAGATGTTGGGAAATATAACTTTAATAACTTTTGTATTATGATAAAATATGCATAGTACAAATTTACTATTTTAGTTATTTTTAAATGTACAGTTCAGTGGTATTAACTATACTCACAATGTTGTACAGCCATCACCATTACCCAGCTCCAGAACCTTCTTATCCCAGACTGAAACTCCATGCCTACGAAATACTGAGTCCCCAGCCCCTAGAAACCACTGTTCTACTTTCTGTTTCTATGAATTTGACTACACTAGGTACTGCATGTAAGTAGAATCACATAGTATTTTCCTTCTTGCGGCTGGCTTCTTTCACTTAGCTTGATGTCCTGAAGGTTCGTTCATGTTGTAACATATGTCAGAATTCTCTTCCTTTTTTAAATGCTGAATAATATTCCATTGAATAAATATGCCACATTTTGTTTATTCATTCTTCTATAAACAGATATTTAGGTTGCTTCTACATTTTGGCTACTGTTGATAATATTTCCATGAACACAGGTGTACAAATAGGTGTTTGAGTTGCTATCTTCAATTTTTTGTATATATAGACCCAGGAGTGGGATTTCTGGACCATATGGTAATTCTGTTTAAAATTTTTTTTTTTTTTTGAGACAAACTCTTGCTCTGTCAGCCACGCTGGAGTGCAGTGGCATAATCTTGCTCATTGCAACTACCATCTCTCAGGCCCAAGCAATTCTCCTGCCTCAGCTTCCCAAGTAGTTGGGATTACAGGCATGTGCCACCATGCCCAGCTAATTTTTGTATTTTTAGTAGAGATGAGGTTTCACCATGTTGGCCAGGCTTGTCTAAAACTCCTAACCTTAGGTAATCCACCTGCATCGGCCTCCAAAAGTGCTGGGATTACAGGCGTGAGCCACCGTGCCTGGCCGTGTGTTCAGTTTGTTGAGGAACCTCCTCCATACTGTTTTCCACTGGCAACTGATTCCGTTTATATTCCTGTCAGCAATGCCCAAGGGCTCCACTTTCTTCACATCCTTAAAACACTTCCTATTTTCTATTTCTTGGAAGAAAATATCAGTTCTAAGTGAGGCACATTGCTCCTTCCAACAATGTAGAGGTTATGTTAGTAAGAAGTGGTACGTGGATCTTGGGAGGAAAGAATGTTTTTTTTAGTACCTAATAACATAACTCCCAAAACATAGAAAACAGGAGCTTGACAAAACCACCAGAAAAAAAAAAAGGGCCTAACACCAACACAGGCAAGGATCTCTAACACGCTTGGTCCAGAAAACGGTAGAATAGTCATAACACAAGTGAAATAGATGATAGGGCTGGGTATCACCATCGAGATGCTGGTGTACAGCACACATACCAGGATGTGAAGGTCATGTAACTGATACTTCGATGTATACAGCCAATAGGGAACATGTGCTCTTTTCAAGTATGCATGGAAGATTTATAAAAATTGATCCTGTACTAAATCAAATCCCTCTTCTTCCTCCCAAAACAGATATCACGCAAACCATGGTCATAGTAGAACTAGAAATCAACAACAACAAAATAACCAAAAAGCAAGAAAACTGCTATTGGGCGAGAAAATGCTGTGTCTTCAAGCCCTCGACCAGGATAGAGGGTGGGAGGGAACTGGGACTCCAACAGCAGCCTGTGCCCACCACACCATCTGTCTCAAGCCAGCTTTCATTCCCTGACCACCTCTGGGTTTATATTTGGGGTTAGTTCTTGTTTTCATAAATGACAAAGAGGATGTGCATCTAAAAATTCCAGGGGGGTAAATCTTTTTTTTTTTTAAGCTTTTACATTTATTTTTTAATTTTTATTTTTTGTGGGTACCTAGTAGGTATATATATTTATGGGATACATAAGATGTTTTGAAACAGGCATGCAATGTGAAATAAGCACATCATGGAGAATGCAGTATCCATCCCACCAGGCATTGATCCTTTGTGTTATAAACAATTCAACTGCCCTCTTTCAGTTATTTTTAAATGTACTATTAAGTTATTATGGACTGCAGTCACCCCATTATGCTATGAAACAGCAGGTCTTATTTATTCTAACACTTTTTGTACCCACTCGCCATCCCTATCTCATCCCCAACCCCCCACTACCCTTCCCAGCCTGTGGTAACCATCCTTCTACTCTCTGTGCCCATCAGTTCAATTGTTTTGAGTTTTAGATCCCACAAATAATTGGGAGAGCGTGATGTGTGTCTTTCTGTGCCTGTCTTGTTTCACTTAATGATCTCCAGTCCATTGATGTTGCTGCAAATGACGGAATCTCATTCATTTTTTATGGCTAAATAGTACTCCATTGTGTATATGTACCACATTTTCTTTATCCATTCATCTGCTGATGAACACTTAGATTGTTTCCAAATCTTAGCTACTGTGAGCAATGCTACAACAATCATAGGAGTGTGGATATTTCTTCGATACACTGATTTTCTTTTCTGGAGTTTTATATCCAGGAGTGGGATTGGTGGATCATATGGTAGCTCTATTTTACTAGTTTACACCCTCACCAAGTTATTTTACTAATTTACATTCCCACCAAGAATGTACAAGGATTCCCTTTTCTCCACATCCTCACCAGCATTTGTTATTGCGTATCTTTTGGATATAAACCATTTTATCTGGGGTGAGATGATATCTCATTGCAATTTTGCTTTGCTTTTCTCTGATGATCGATGAATCAAGCACCTTTTCACATGCCAGTTTTCCATTTATATGTTTTCTTTTGAGAAATATCTATTCAAACCATTTGCCCATTTTTCGATCAGATCATTAGAAGTTTTTCCTATGGAGTTGTTTGAGCTCCTTATATATTCTAGCTATGAACCTCTTGCCAGATGAGTAGTTTGCAAAGATTTTCTTCCATTCTGTAGGTTTTCTCTTCACTTTGATGATTGTTCCTTTGCTGAGCAGAAGCCTTTTGACTTGATGTGATCCCATTTGTCCATTTTTGCTTTGGTTGCCTGTAATTGTGTGGTATTTCTCAAGAAATCTTTGCCCAGTCCAATGTCCTGGAGATTTTCCCTAATGTTTAGAGAACTTAGAAACAAATCCACACACTTACAGTGAACTCATTTTTGACAATGGTACCAAGAACATACATTGGGGAAAAGACAGCCAATTCGTTTCTCCTGGGTTCATATTTGTTTTTGCTAAAGTATATCCTTCAGGACTGGCAATTTTCTGGTTAAGGGCTAGATAACAAATAGTGTATGCTTTGCTGACCATTTGGGGTCTGTCACAACTTCTCAGCTCTGCCCTTGTAACATGAAAGTAGCCACAGGCAACAGGGAATAGAACTTTACTTATGGACACCAAAATTTGAATTTTATATAACTTTCATTTGTCAGAAAATGTTAATCCTTATTTGATTTCCTTTCAATCATTTAAAAATTTAAATCCATTTTTAACCCACAGGCCATACAAAAACGGGTGGTGACTGGATTTGGCCCGTGGGCCATGGTTTGACAATGGATCTAGGTTGTATTGTTCTTCCAGAAAGGGTCTGTGGTCAACAGGCTGGTTTGTCTGTATTCTTAAATTTCTTTATTTTATATTATACATGTTCTTGAAAACTACCTGGAACGAGTAAAGTATTTATGACAGAAAACTGTTTTCTCTTTGAATATATTACTTAATTAGTCTCCTGGCATCTAATATGTCTGATAAAAAATACGATGCCAATGTTCATTTTCCTTCCTTTACAGGAAATGTGTGTGTGTGTGTGTGTGTGTGTGTGTGTGTTTGTTTTAATCTTCTCTCATAGCTTGTAGGATTTTCTTTTTACTCTTTTTGTTTGGAGGTTTTTCTAGATGATATCAATTAGTTCTTGGAATATCCACACAACACATTTGTAGAGGTCTCTTGTGCTCTCTTCTATTCATTTGCTTTTCCTAGAAACCCCACTAAACTTGTGTCACAGGGCTACCCATCTTCCATGTCTCCTAACTTTTCTAGTGTGTTTTCTCTTTGTACTGCTACGGTCTTGAAGATTTCATCTGTTCAGCACATCTTTTAAGGTGCTTCTGTGATTTTCAAAAATGTATTTGTATATATGGAATTTATCATTGCTTTCCCAAACTTCTTGTTATTATTTCAAGACTTCTTTCCCTCCAGAGCCTTCTTTCCTCCTGTCATGGCTGCTTCCTCTCCTTTCTTTCAGGATATTAAAAACTGTTTCACATTTCTTTTCGAATTCTCTAAGTTCTCTTCTTTTTGCTGGGTATGTGTTCCTCTGTTCTGTGTTTTTGTCTCACATGGGCTCTGTCTTCCTCCAGGGTTGTGTGATTCTTGGTTGTGAGGCCGTCACCACCCTGAGTGATTTCTTGTCTTTGAATTCCAGCAACCCTCAAGATGCATTATCAAAGTTCTATACATGAGCTCTGCAGCTGTCTCAGTTCAGCCCCAATGCCACACAATGGACTTATTTCCAGACAGCTCCTACTCTTGTGGTGGCTCCAGACCGTGCCCAATGGAGAAGGCACATCTCAAGTTCCAAGACCAGGGCTTCAGCCACTGGGTAGGCAGACACAGAGCGGTGCAGGCTCTAGAAATGAGTGGGGGTAGATTTCCAGTCCCCACTGCAGGTCTGCAGTCCTTTGCCACACCTAGATTGCCAGTTGTGGTCCCCAGCCCCTCCTAGGACCTGAAACCCTCAGCCCAGACTTGTGCATCACTCTGAGCTCTTTTCCCAGCACCCTCTTGCACCCCAGTGATTCAGCCCCTAGTAACCACCCCAAGCACCCTCCTTTTCAGGAACTATTTCTTTTTCTGGCATCTGTAGATTGCCCATTCTTGTTTTGGGGTATTGCTATGTATTTAGTATGGCTTATCAATATTGTTCCCCTCCTCCTTAAGTGTTCAGAGAAGTGGGGAAAAGTTGTAGTATTTATTGGGTGCATCATTTTAAACTAAAATTCTCACTGCTTTGTGAATACAATGGAATAATCATATCCATCTCTCAAGATGGCTTTAAGAACCATATGAGATAAATGCTTTGGAATCCATAAAGTGTCTAAAATATAACAAATAGTTATTATTCCTTTTTACATTGCAGCAAACCCCCACAGATTCAGTGTCAATGAGAGAAATTAAGATTAACTGAGGGCAACACAGATTTCCATGAATACCAGTGCTGTTAGATGCTCCATGACAGTACTTTCTAGAGTAAAAGAACTTTAGAAAAAGCAGCAAATGGTAACACCCTCGTGGAGATTCCAATTATATAACCATGCATTACAGGATGCAGGAGGCCCTGCTATAAAGGCACTAACCTTACTTTGTTCAGTCATATTTCCAAAACACCTTGATCGTGAAAGCCTCTATAATACAGTGACTAATGATGTGCAAGAGTGAGCAAATCAGGGACTTATTAAAGAGTCCTGATTTTCTGAAAGACTGAATTTCAGAAGAGCTCTAAATGGGGCTTTACTGGGGCACAATACAAGCGATAGGCCTCACTCAAAGATGGTCCCTAAATATCATATGAAGTGGTATACTGAAACAATTGCAATCCACAATATTAGGATGGTGCAAAAGTGTTTGCAGTTTTTGCCACTGCATTTTAATGGCAAAAACCGCAACCACTTTTGCACTAACCTAATAGCTTACTTTATTTAATAATGCTTCATAAATAAGAACTTGTTTTACATTTAGGAATGGCCTAAGAATCAATAAGTTGAAAGCCTACTATGGGAATGCCTATTGAGATTAGGGCCGTAAAATGAGCTAAGTAGAATGAGCACATATTATAGATGTGAGTATGAATGTTAATTCCAACTTCACTTAGCTTTAGTGTTATCTTCTATAAAATGAGAATGATGCCAACCACAATGGCAGGTCATAAATATTTGGCCACAGAATAAATAAATACACATTTCCTTTTGCTGTAGCCACAGTACCCACCCCAAGAGTCTATTGAATGTGGCCGGACAGCCGGGGTCATGCCTGTAATCCCAGCACTTTGGGAGGCTGAGGCAGAAGGATCCCTTAAGCTCAGGAGTTTGAGATCAGCCTGGGAAACAGGGCAAAATGCTTTCTCTACGAAAAAATTCAAACATTAGCCTGGCGTGGTGGCATACACCTATAATCCCACCTACTCGAAAGGCTGACGTGGGAGGACCACTTGAGCCCAAGTGGCAGAGGTTGCAATGAGAAAAGATTGTGCCACTATACTCCAACCTGGGTGACAGAGCCAGACACTGTATCTAATAGTAATAATAATAACTTGATATAGAAGGAGTCAGCTGGGCGTGGTGGCTCATGCCTGTAATCTTAGCACTTGGGGAGGGGGGTGGATCACTTCAGGCCAGGAATTTGAGACCAGCCTGGCCAATATAGTGAAACCCCATCTCTACTAAAAATGCCAAAAAATAGCTGTGCATGGTGGTGCATGCCTGTAATCCCAGCTACTTGGGAGGCTGAGACACAAAACTAAGTGAAACCCGGGGCAGAGGTTGCAGTGAGCCAAGATCATACCACTGCAGTCCAGCCTGGGTGACAGAGCGAGACTCTGTTTCAAAAAAAAAAAAAAGCCCCCCAAAAAAGAGTCTATGGAATGAGAACTTTAGGCATTATCCTGCAAAGTTATAACTATCAGTGGTAAAAGAAATGCTGTTTCTAAACCAATATTATGCCTTAAATCATACTAATAATTCTAGCTGTTCTACCACAGACTTTTACAGCTAGATGTCATCTAATGGGTCACTTAATTAAAGCCCCTAAATTTGGGGTAAAGAGACTGAGGTTCAGAGACAACCTAGGACTTGTTAGAGGTGGTGACAGGTGACAATGAGAACCTCATCGTGCTGGCTCCTCACCTAATGATTTTGCAGGACCCCACGATGCCTTTCTTTGGGTGAAACACAAGTTTATTCAAGTTCAGGCAAGAATCCTAGGGTTGAAAAAAGGCAAGAGTTTCAAAATTTTTTATGTCCTTGAGCAGATCTTAAAACACAAAAGAAGAGCGTGAGTCATATTCTACCTTTATTTACATCACCTTGCTTCTTCCAATTTCTACAAATAGTTGAGAGTTCTGTAGCATTGAGAATGGTCAGCAAAGACAGCAAACTTTTGCTCCATATCAAATGCTGCTGCCTCTTAACTAGGTGCCCGTCTGGAAGGTGGGGTCAGGAGTTGCCCACGCTGGTCCCAAAGCGGAGCACGAGCTCAGGGTTTGTTTCCGTCACCTGGAAGGCAATCGTCAGAGCCTGCCATGTGTGCATGCGGATGTCTCTGTGTATTTTTAGAACACTTTTAAAAGGGAGGCAGCCAAAATATTTTTACTGCACAGCAGGCACTGTTTCATGTTGGAGTGTTGGAAAGAAACAGAAGAGAAAGAAAAGAGAGGGAGGAGAAGATTTAAGACCAGCGCACAGATTGAAATGGTTAATGCCGTCTCGGGCTGGAGAACAAGTGCTCTGAGTGCTGAAGACTCCTCCCATCTCCACATCTCCAAATGTCCCCATGTAGATTCCAGGATCCACACATCAGAGGCACCTGCCACTGAGCTGGGCATGAACTCTGAAGACCAGGTAGGGCTCAAATGCAAGAGGGAACTGGGAAGGGCATTTCAACCAAGGCGGGGTGAGAGCAAAGCCATGTGGCATGTGGGGTGGGATGTCATGTGGAAAGTCACAAGGAATGAGGTTGGAAAGCAAACTGGGTCTCAGCTAGAGACAGAGTCTAAGCAGGCTCTGGGGTGTGGAAACTCCCCATGGACAAAACAGCTATGATGAAATTTCATATTTTGAATAGCTCTGTGTGGCTCGGAGTGCATTTTCACACCTCAAAGTCATCAGACCCCCAAATAACCTTCTGGTTTTGCCCTGTTACTCTATTGCACAGAGGAAGAGACTGAGGTTCAAGAGCGTCATACAGCTAATAAGTATGAGAGTTGGGATTTGAATCCAGATCTTCTTAAACTACCTCCAGGGTGCCTTTTTTTGCACACAGAGTGGTTTAAGGATTTTTAAACAGTGCAGATACAGGATGTGAGATCTTGAGTGGGGTCGGGGTGAGACCTTGGGGCTGGGCGAGAAGGTCAATGTGAAGAACAGTCTAGAGCAGGCATCTGCAAACAGTGTCTGCAAACAGTGTCTGTAAAGGGCTTTGTGGTCATTGTTGCATATTCTTCTTTATTTTTGTCATGTGCTTGGTTTTTAACAACTCTTTAGAAATGTAGAAATATTCTTAGCTTCAGGGCTATGAAAATAGTCTAAGGGCTGGATTTGACCACTGGCTGTCATGTGCTGCCTGGATATAGGGAGCCATTCAGAAGGCTGCCAAATTACCCCATGTGGCGAGCAGGGAGGGCCCGGGCTGAGATGGAGAAGAAAGATCGAGAGCCCATCGTGCAAGGAGGCTGCACAAGCTAGGGGCTGGTCGGGAGATGCCACAGGTGAGGGGCCCCTGGAGGAACTGCTCCCTCCACAGTGCCCACAACAGGCTGGGGGGCCCAGCCCAAAACTAGCCCGTCACTGAGCACCCCCTTCACACCTTTTTTAACTAGGGCATGAGGCAAGCATCCAAGGCCCATGACCAGATGTGGGAGCCTCTGGAATCAATTGCTTCCGGTAGGATTGGGTGCATCGGAAAGAGCCTAGGGCAAGGCTGGAGGCCACGAGAGACGCTGCCAGGCCACACAAGCAGGGGACAAAGCTGATGTTCACACTTTTGCCAGTGGACCACCTTGGTGAAGGGAAATGTCCAGTCAAGTTCATAGCACCTGCAGAGCCTAAAACATAACAAGCAGCATGCCCTGACACTCACCAAGGCCAGAGGCCGTGGGAAGCATTTCCCATGCATTGCCTTGCCTATTAAAATTTCACTGTATTGCCACATGGGGCTAACTCTAACTATGGCTTAGAAAGGCAACAATTGTGGTGGAGAGTGACAGTGATTTGCCAACTCTGCTGTCGCTCAGTCATTTCCCAGGAGGGGAGGCTTGGACAACAGGCTTACTCCACCCAGCCCGTTTCCTCCCCTGTAAAATCAAGACCATAATGACAAAGCAACGGAAAGGGGAAGAGTCAGCCAAACACTGCAACCAGCGCCTGGCACCATGATTGACGTTTGCAGGAATGTCATCGGGGTCCTTGTCCCTTATCACACAGCTAGTAAGGAGTAGAGTCACGACCTGAATCCTGATAAATCACTGATTGATCATAAAAAAAAAAAATGGACAATTCTATGTTTGTAGATTTCCTCTACGGAAAACGAAGCTGCATGTCCTTTCAATCCTCAAGAGAGGATAAAATGAGAAAAGCATTTGATAGAGCAATTTACCATCACCAGGAGTGTTTCTGCCTGGTAAAGATGACAGCAGCACGTACCTGGTGGCAGGAGTGAGGTCACTGTCAGAGAGGAGCTGGCCCCTACGGTTGCTGGAGGTGACGTGCATTTGGCAAAGAGGGAGGCGGGGAGGGCAGGGAACATCCATGAGAAGCTTCTCTGTGTCCAGCACCGTCACGCATTTCAATCCCTTTCAGGTGAGTGTTCTACCTGTTTCTGTACAGAAGAGAAATCAGAATGCCAGAGAAGTGAAGAAACTTCTCCAGGATCATGTCATCACCAAATAATGCCTGCTTTGACCATCTCTACATTTTGTGCTAAACCAAGGTTTAGGCAGCCGTTCAAAGGAACAGTAGAAGAGATGTTACAGATGTAACTATTCTTGAAAGCAAGTCAGATTTCATAGAGAGAAAGGCTGGTCTTTTCCATTTGCCTCCTCCAGACCCATAACTTTGGAGAGGGGGCTATTCTTGTCAGTGAGGCTTATGCATGTGTCAGAAGAATGCCCAAGCAAAGAAATCTAAGTGGCAGACCCCCCGAGGATAGGAAGGAAGAAGGACGCTTGTGCTGACACATCCAGAAAACTCTTCACATTTCGTGAAATATGTGTTTGTTGAGTGAACATGAGACAGCCGGAAGTCCGAACCATGCAGTAATAGCAGAGAATCTGAAGGCACAGAGGCTTCCCAGGACGTTCTGAGAGCTCACGCTGGGTGCAGGCTTTCCCTCCTGCAGCACCCCTGAGTCCAGAGAAGATATAAACCCTGCCCTGTGGGCCAAGCACTCATGGCAACAGCTTTCTGAGTTTGCTGTGCTTACAGGCACTTGTGGAACTTGTTAAATTATAAAACTCCAGACGTCACCTCTGGATCGCTCAGCTGTGCATTTTTCTAAGGCTTGCTGCCCAAATGATTTGGGGCACATGTGAAGACGCATTGTCTTGGGGCTCCACTGCATCCTGGAGCTCATTGAACAGTCGCAAGTGTCTAAGGAACTCCTAAGAAAGAGTGGGGATGATGTGAAAGTATAGAACGAAGGGATGTATCAAGGCTAGGAAGTCAAGGAATCATCTATGAGAAGGTCTCATTTCTGCTGAGTCCTGAGCCAGGAATTGGGAACAGTCAAGGGAGAGTCTTCTAGGCAGCAGGGAGTCTGGTCTAGTACAGGCTTGGAAGCCAAGGAGATCACAGTGTGTTAGAGAACCTGAAAGAACATAAAGTTGTCCAGGTGTGATGGCACACACCTGTAATCCTAGCACTTTGGGAGGTAGAGGCAGGCAGATCATCTGAGGTGAGGAGTTCAAAACCAGCCTGGCCAACATGGCGAAACCACATCTCTACTAAAAATACAAAAATTAACTGGGTGTGGTGGCACCTGTACTCCCAGCTACTCAGGAGGCTGAGGCAGGGAGAATTGCTTGAACCCTGGAGACGGAGGTTGCATTGAGCTGAGATCATGCCACTGTAATCCAGCCTGGGCAACAGAGCAAGACTCCATCTCCAAAAAAATAAAAAAAATAAAGTCTAGTAAGGAAAGGGCAGGAAGGAAAGCTGCAGACATACCAGGGATGGAGGCAGGGGTCTGAGTGGACAGCGCCTTGGAAGCTGGTTAAGACATTGGATTCTATGCCAAAGTCCGTGGGGAGCCACAGGAGTTTTAAGCAAGGGGATCACAAGATCGGGCTTGTATATTTAGTTATTGTCTGTACTTTGTGGGATGTGGCTGGGGAAATGCATCATTCCAGTGAAAGGCTGCTTGCCACAGTCACCTGGGTGACAGATGAGAGTGGTTTTAAATAGGATGGGGCAGTAGAAACAGACAGAAAAAACAGACATGGAGGGTAGCTAGGAAGTAAAGTCCACAGGACGTGGGAGAGGCTTGTATGCAGGAGAGGAAGGCATCAACGTGGCCTTTCAGATACTGTATTTAACCTGGGCCACAGGTATGTCACTTGGGACATTTGCCCAGATGAGAAGTGCAGGGGTGGGCCAGGTGTGAGTGTCACCAAGTCCAGATCAGGAACTGCTGACCTCTCACTGCTGCCTCCTCCAAATCCTACAGAAGCCCCGCACATGGGAGATGCTGGACAAGACTGTGAGAACGGTAAAGAAGGATCCAGAGGTATGTGTGGGAAATGTTGCATTTGAGACCCCTGTGACACATCCTGGTGGAAATGTCAGGTGGAAGAGCTGTCTAGACAGGGGTACCTGAGATCGTAGAAGAGAAGTCTGGGAGGAGCTACAGGTCAGCCGGAGCCATCAGGATATATAGACAGTAGTGGAAGCACATGAGATAAGGAGGGAGTGAAGACCAAACTGCAGAGAGGAATGGAGGGGAAAGGAAAAGAAGGGGAGGAGAGGAAAGAGGAAAGCAGGGGAGAGGAGGTCAGGGGAGGGAGGAGAAGAGAGCATAGACTCAGAGTTGAAAAAGTCAGAGACCGAGAACAATCCTGGGAGGGAACAGAGAGTGAACAAACCAAATTCAAGGTGAGACTAGATCTTGGGACCCAAGAAAAACCCGATTATCAGAACTGGACTCCATATCAAGATAAACCACAAAACACTTTAGTCAAGCTTTGCGTCTGGACGAAGCTACTATTTATTAGAGAGCATCATCTACATTTCCCTGAATTTCATATATTGGAAAGAGTTAAGGGTAATTTATAGAAGACCTACATGACCAGGCACTTTAATAGATGTTATCTATAAGTGAAACTTTGCAAGGCACTGTGCTAAGCATTTCTCATCATTATCCGATTTAATCCTAACAGTCGTGTGTGGTGGGTATTATTATCCTCACTTTTCAGAAACGGATGCAAAATGCTAGAGCATTTAGGGGACTTTTCCAAGCTCACACAGCCCGGTGTTCCAGCCACGATTTCAACCTGATTCCCCAGGTACTTCACAACACGCCTGTCTTTGCAAATGTCTGTGAGCAATGGAAAGGGGAAAATTTCCAATGATTAGAAAAAGAGAAACTCAACAGTGCAAAGCCAAAGTGTTCATTCCTTTGTGGATGAAGAAAGCCCATCCCTTCCTCCCACAGGTTGATGTGTGCTCAGCCCTGCCAGGACCCCACGGACTTCCTTCCCTGGCCTCTGTTGAGATCTGCATAATGCCTGCTCGGCTACCTGAGAGCTTTCTCTGCCTGATTTATGGGAGTGTTTGTTGCGCTTAGATCATAAATCTCCACCCCCAGGACATTTCAGTTCTGGTATTTATTGACCAAAGACAGCTTGTGTTAAAAAATGTTTTGAGATTTTGCCAGATAATCACTACAGAATATTTGAGAAAACATCGTGTCCTCTGGTAAATGAAATTCCGCAAGTAGTTGAGTTTGCTACTGAGGCAAATACCTTCCCTGTCTACTATTTTACGACCTTGTTTTATTTTGTTTTGTTTTAAAAGAAGAGGCAGGTTTTTCCTATGTGTCTCTTTACCATCTCCTGAACTCATCAAGGGAGAATGGAGAAGAGGAATTGTCAAAAGATGTTTCCCTCAGGGCCTAGAAGAGTTTTTTATTCTTTTGAACCAGAACTTTTGGCCAAGTGCATCTCAGAAGCATTCAGGTGGCAAAACACCTGGAGGAGAACTGTGAAAGATAAATGCCTTCGATGTATTAAAAAAACCAAAGATGTAAATGTGAGCTCAATCTGATGCTGACATCAGATTCTAGTATAGACACGCTTAAGACTTTAAAGAACAGTATTGGAGAAAAAGTTTAGAAAACTCATCAATAAGCTTTGCTTAGCATGAGCACATGCGTGTCCTTGTGCATGGCTGTGAAGATCTGGAAAATACTGTCAATGGACCATGTTAATGAAAACTTGTCCACTTTAAAGAAAAATAGTGTTTCTACCCAGAACATAGTTGACAATCATTGCTTTAGATAAAGGTTTCAAAAATTCTCAAGGCTACAGGACTCAAGAAAGTCAGAGAGGCAAGGTTAGTATAAGAAAATATAGAAACCGCCACACACCTACAACCATCTGATCTTTGACAAACCTGACAAAAACAAGCAATGGGAAAAGGTTTCCCTGTTTAATAAATGGTATTGGGAAAACTGACTAACCATGTGTAGAAAGCTGAAATTTGACTCCTTCCTTAGACCTTATACAAAAATTAATTCCAGATGGATTAAAGTTTTAAACATAAAACCTAACACCATAAAAACCCTAGAAGAAAACCTAGGCAATACCTAGGCTGGACATAGGCATAGGCAAGGACTTCATGACTAAAACACCAGAAGCAATGGCACTAAAGTCCAAATAGACAAATGGAACCTAATTAAACTTAAGAGCTTCTGCACAGCAAAGAAACAATCATTAGAGTGAACCAGCAACCAACAGAATGGGAAAAAATTTTTGCAAGCTACCCTTCTGACAAAGGGCTAATATCCAGAATCTGCAAAAAACTAAAACAAATATAAAGAAAAAAACAGACAACCCCATCAAAAAGTGGGCAAAGGATATGAACAGACACTTTTCAAAAGAGACATTTATGTGACCAACAAACATATGACAAAATACTCATCATCTTTGGTCATTAGAAAAATGCAAATCAAAACCACATTGAGATACCATCTCATGCAAGTTAGAATGGTGATTATTAAAAAATCTGGAGACAACAGATACTGGAGAGGATGTGGAGAAAAAGGAACACTTTTACATTGTTGGTGGGAGTGTAAATTAGTTCAACCATTATGGAAGACAGTGTGGCGATTCCTCAAGGGTTTAGAAATAGAGTGCCACTTGACTCAGCAATCACATTACTGGGTGTATACTCAAAGGATTGTAAATCGTTCTATTATAAAGACACATGCATATGTATGTTCACTGCAGCACTGTTTACAATAGCAAAGACTTGGAACCAACCCAAATGCCCATCAATGATAGACTTCATAAAGAAAATGTGGCACATATACACCATGGAATACTATGCAGTCATAAAAAGGATGAATTCATGTCCTTTGCAGGGAAATGGATGAATCTGGAAATGATAATTTTCAGAAAACTGACATATGAACAAAAAACCAAACACCACACGTACTCACTCATAAGTGGGTGTTGAACAATGAGAACACATGGACACAGGGAAGGGAACATCAACTACTGGGGTCTGTTGGGCGGTGGGCAGCTAGGGGAGGGATAGCAGGGGGTGGGGAGATTGGGGAGGGATAACATTAGGAGGAATACCTAATGTAGGTGACAAGGGGATGGAGGCAGCAAACCACCATGACATGTGTATACCTGTGTAACAATCCTGCAAGATCTGCCCATGTACCCCAGAACTTAAAGTAAAATTTTAAAAAAGAAAATACAGAAACCATCAAGAGTCACCCTGAGACTCTGGGGACTTGGAGAGCAGGTGTCTCTTTTCAGAGACAGCCATTTATTAGGCTCAGTGGTTTCCAACCCTGTTGACATGTGAACTTAAGCTTTGTCTAATATGGCGAATCCAAATGTTAAATGTTTATTACTTATTACAAAAAAAAAAAAAAAAAACAATGTGAAGGCCAAACAAAACACATCTGCAAGCCAAACCTAACAAAGGCTACTGGCTGTGGCTGTGGCCAATGTCTGACTATCACTGTGGCTGTGGAATCATGGTTCATTACAGTTGTTGCTTTCCAGAGTGAGGGGTTGGCCCCTGACTTTCTATAATTATTCAAATTGACTGCTTGTGGTTTGCTCAGAAGCCTGAGTCTTTATGAAAGCAAAAGAGGGACACAGGAGGTCAGACTCAACTACCTGCCTCCTTGCAGGTTCATTAAACAACCATCATCTGTGAGTTGTTGTGTCTGGTTCTTTTCCCCATCATCTTATCCAGTCTCTGCTTTAAAGTTGATGCTAAGGTTACCTTCCTTCCACAGATGATGATATGATTTGGTTGTGTCCCCACTCAAATCTCATCTTGAATTGTAGCTTCCATAATCTCCATGTGTTGTGGGAGGAACCAAGTGAGAGGTAATTGAATCAGGGGGTCAGGGCAGGTCTTTCCTGTGTTGTTCTCATGATAGTGAATACGTCTCACAAGACTTGGTGGTTTTATAAAGGGAAATTGCCCTGCACACACTCTCTTGTCTGCTGCCATGTAAGATGTGACTTAGCTTCTCCTTGCCTTCTGCCATGATTGAGGCCTCTCCCGCCTTGCTGAACTGTGAGTCAATTAAACATCTTTCCTTTAAAAATTACCCAGTCTTGGGTATGTCTTTATTAGCAGCATGAGAATGGTCTAACACAGATGGGAAACTCAAATACATTGAGGTGCCTGCCCAAGGCCACTGACCTGGTTGACAGACCCAGGATTCAAACCCAGCTTTGTCTGTCTTCAAGGCCCATCCTCAGGTCCTGCCATACTGCCTGTCTCTGTACACAGCTGTGCAACTTTTAGCCAGCTCCTACTGCACCTGCCTGGGCTCCATAAGTCCCCTGCAGCACACCTGGTCTCTGTGCACTCGGGTCTCCAACCTCAAAGCTCCTCATTGTCCTTATCTTTGAGTTTTCTGCCCCAGCACTAGTGAATTGCATCTGCCCTGCCCTTCATGGGCATGAAGTGTCCCCCATTTCTATATGATATATCCTCACTTGGGGGAGAGAGGATGCATCCTGTGAATTGTCTTGTAGTTCACAGAATGAGGCCCTCTGATAAGCTGCATGAGGTTCTCCACCAACTATTTCTGTGACTTTGCATTGCTATTCATTTAATGGTAGAAGTTGAACCTTAGGACGCAGATTTAGCCATTTCTCTGTCCCTCACTTCTCACCCAATCTAATCACTTGAAAAACCCTGTGGATTTCTGCCCGCACATCTCTGATACCAATCAGCTTCTCTCCAGGACCACTACCACCTGGGCAAATCTGGCTCCCATCACCTTTTGTCTGGCACCTCCAAGCTGTCTATCTTTTCTCTGTTCATATAGTCTTAACCAGTTCCAACGCATTCTCCACACAGCAGCCATCATGACCATTGAAGTTTGATCAAGACTGTGTTCTACATTCAATATGTCCATGACTCCCTGTTGGTCTGAAGGTAAAAATCTCAGCCTCCACTCTCTGCAAAAGCTGACTCCTACTTACCTCTCTCTTGACTTTCTCAGATTTCAGT